CAGCCTCACCCAGGTGGCTGTGGCTTCCCAGGAGCCCTGTGGCTCCCAGTTTGGTGCTGAGGCTGAGCTGGGGCAGCGTGGCCCTTTCCTCAGCTGTGGAGGAGTCACATCTGTCATCCCACCACAGTCCCCTGCTCCTCTAGCTTCCCTTGTGTGTGTCCAAGCACATGTGCCAGGTCAGGCAGTCCCCTGCTCCCCACCCTGGGCAGCTCAGAGGGGCCAGCTCAGCACCTGCACCCCAGCTTTGTACCATCCCCTGGTGAGCTCTTTGGCTCTGAGCAGGAGAGGGACTCTGCTCACCCCACTCCCCGGGGCTCTTCTGGAGCCCCCAGTGAGGCGCAGAGGTCAGGACTGCCCGAGAGCCCCGTGGGCAGCCAGAGGGGCCATCTGTGCCAGGATGGGCTGTCACCAGCCAGCCGGGCAGGACACTGCTCTGAAGCTGGTTTCCAAAAGCAGAAGTCGTTGACCGTGGCTCTTGGTCAGTCCTGAGCTCAGGGGAACTGAAAGGAGGAGAAAGGAGTACTGTTATTTTCTTCAGTACCAGGAAATCAGCATCCCCTAAGGGAGCCAAGCTGCCAGTTTCTATTGATTCTTTTCTTCCTTTCATGTTGGTTTTTTTTCCTCCTTGCTGGCACTGCAGGCAGAAATTCCCCTGAGGCAGCTCTACAAATCCCAGCCTCAAAAACTTCCTCCCCAACACTCTGGAGAGATTTCTAGGGTCCTGTATCCCAGGAGTCACAGGTCTTCAGCTTCTCCCACGAGTCCTCTGCTGTACTGGTCTGGCAGAGAAGCTGGTTTGACTGGGCTGGATCCAGCCACCCCCCTTTCTCTCGTGGCTGGTCCCAGCAGCAGGTGCCGTGTGAGAGGAGGTGGGGAGCAGGAGGGCACCTCAGAGGTGGGGAGCAGCAGGGCACCTCAGAGGAGGTGGGGAGCAGGAGGGCACCTCAGAGGAGGTGGGGAGCAGGAGAGCACCTCAGAGGAGGTGGGGAGCAGGAGAGCACCTCAGAGGTGGGGAGCAGGAGAGCACCTCAGAGGAGGTGGGGAGCAGGAGGGCACCTCAGAGGAGGTGGGGAGCAGGAGAGCACCTCAGAGGAGGTGGGGAGCAGGAGGGCACCTCGTTACTAGAGGTGCCAGCTGGACAGACTCCCAGAGGTGATGCTCCTGCCTGTGAACCTGGGTTTGGACTGGGAATGCTGCTCCACAGAGGGACATTTGCAGGATCCACCCCATCCCAGGCTCAGTGCCCCACGTGTGGCACCGTGGCCCCTGAAAGAACCAAACACTTGCTGGGGTGAGGAGATTTCACTGAGCCTTGCAGTGGGTGCACAAGGACCTTCTGCTCCCTGCAAACCAAACTGGCTCCTCCTCGTCCATTCTTTTAATGCAGAACCCTAAATTCTCCTCTTCAGGAAACTTCCTCCTTGCACAAGGTAGATTTAGTGTCCTGCTGAGTCAGAGAAGGGAGATGCTGAACTTCCCCTTTGCTTCAGAGAGTCCAACAAATGACAGGTGATTTATTTTTAGCATTATCTCTTTGGCTACAGGGAGGGGAAGCGAGTTCTGGAGGCTCAGGGGTGCTGGGGGGTGAGGCTCTATATGCATAAAGACTGTTTCAATGCTGAACACTATCAATTCCATGGTGGATTAAAAAAAAAAAAGAATGTAAATATGCACTTAATGCAGAATTTTATGGATGGTCATAATTTAATATATTGCAAACTTTGTAAATAGTTGGGGGAAAAAAAAAGCCTGTAAAGCGTGTAAATAAATTGAGATTTGTATGTAAGGAGATTAAAAGAAAAACAAAGTTTTTACTTTTTGCAATTAAATACAAGTGTTAATGCACCTTTTCCCCTTTCCTGATTCTCCTTGTGTTCCTGTCAGCCATTGGGGGGTTATTTAACCCTTCTCAGGGCACTTTTTCTAAATAAGTGTCGTTTTCAGTGAAAAGCCAGAATGTTTTTGTTTGGGAAATGTCAAAAGAAACATTTTAGCAAAGATGTTGGGTTTAGCCTGTTTCTAAACAAAGGTGGTGCCACAGCTCTGCCTGTCCCTCCTTTCTTCCCAGTGACAATCTCCAGCCTCAGGACTCAGCTTGTTCCAGCCAAGCTGTCAGGGGCAGATGCTGAGCTCCTCCCAAGTCCATAAAACCAGGTAAGCAGAGGAAGATCCCCCCTGCTGCCAAGAGCCTCGTTAGGTGCCTTCAAAGCCACATTGCAGCCCCTGGAGACCTGAGCTGGTAGCAAACCAGGATTTGTTGCTCCTCCATTGCTGGGTTGTGCCTTCCTGGAGCCCAGCACCCTCCAGCAGAACTCTTCACCCCCCAGGGGTGTTGGGGCACGGGGCTCAGGCTGGTGTGGGGCCAGCAGAAGAGAAGCCACATTCCTCATGTGCTCACCTAGTGCTGGCT